TGGGGCGGTTTACATCTGAGTGGCTCACAGTGCTTCTTTACTTCCTTTGTGCCCTCTTGGTAGTCACCCTTGTCTTCTACTTTTTTGGCGAATTTCCCTTCGCGAGACCCTCCCACAATGGACAATTTACCACCACAATGCAGGGAACCACGAACAGCAGCACTCAAGGTGCTCCTTAAAACCAGAGGGTTGAAAGTGAAACCAAAAGATATCGAACGCTTTTGGGATGAAGCCTCTAATTTAGCTCTGTGGGTCTCCCCTGAAAACAAGTGGGACCCTGACACATGGATGTGGGTCCTCTTCCTGGCCTGAAAAAGGGAGGTCAGGTCAGGGATCACTCCCCCCTCATCGTTTGTACCGATCCTCCTAGCCATCATCGCTAGCCTTAAATCCTCCTCTCCTGAGGAAGTCATCTCAGCCCACAACAAACACTGCTGGGAGCAATCTAGTGTAGATCTGGCTATTACCTCGACCCCAGACTTCCCAGACCCCTCGGACCCAGAGGTAGACGCAGCCTCTGTGCCCACTTCCAATAAGGAAGGAGCTCCTTTGCCTATATCTCAGGGTACTCTCCTAGAGCTACCATGCCCAGAAATTCCCCTGCCCCATTACCCATGGAAAGAGTTACTCTCCCCCCCCAATAACCATCCCACCTCTTCCCCTGCTACCATGCCTCTCCCTCCTAGGCTGCCCTCCTTAAAGCCTCACCTGCCTTTGTCCGCATTTCCAGTTAATGTTGGCCCCGATGCAGCGCAGCGTCCATGGTTGCCTACCCCACTTGCTGATCTCGTTCTTTTCCACAAGGCAGGTGAGCAATCGGGCCCTGACTCCCCATATTTCAAACAGGTTCTTCACCAGTGGTCCTTACAGTTACAAACCCACTATGATTGGTATAGCTTACTAAAGGCAGCCTTAGAACCCTCACTCTTTCTAAACTGGTGCACAGCCTATGATGATCAGGCTGAAAACCAGGCAGGTCTAAATCTCCAATATGCCCTCACATTACGTTGGACATGCTCACGGGTCATGGACAATATACTGACCCCATCCCCCAGTCTACTATTGGCCTCCATGCCTATTTTCAACAAGTTTCTGACTTGGCCTTTAAGGCCCTTAAATGTTGCTCCCCCGTGACCCACAAGTCTTTTTCCATAATTTGATTCAACAGTCAGGGGAGTCCTTCACAGATTTCCTTACCCATGTCACTGAGGCAGTAGAGCAAAGGGTAGAGTCTGGACCCACCCGAGAGGTGCTTATCAAACAAACTAAATATCCCTACTCGTAATGCTATTGCACCTGTCCACAATGATAACATTCACAAATGGGTACTCGCCACTAGAGACTTAGACCCTAGGGCAGGCCCTATTGAGGCTTTGACAGCCTCCTTGGAGACTCTTTTGTCGCATGGGAAGGCTGCTGGAACTGTGGGAGGCTTGGCCACTTCTTTAGCCACTACCCAAGAGGTATAGCCTGTTATCAAACAATTAACTTGGGAGGGACTAAACATTCCTATTCATAATGCTATTGCACCTGTCCACAATTATAACATTCACAAATGGGTACTCACTACTAGAGACTTAGACCCTAGGGCGGGCCCTATTGAGGCTTTGACGCCTCCTTGGAGACTCTTTTGTTGCAAGGAAAACCCACCCATTTTGGTGCACGGGAAGGCTGCTGGAACTGTGGGAGTCTTGGCCACTTTTGTAGCCACTGCCCAAGAGGTACAGTCTGCCCCAAGACTCGCTGCCCCTAACCCCCACCCACAACAGGGGAAATGATACAGATATTAGGGACTCTCCCAAACCTCAACCACTCCCCACTAATGACCCTGTTCCTAGATGGAACTGCCATAAAGGGCCTAGTAGACAGAGGGGCTGATGTCACCATTATATCAGAAACTGAATCCCCTAAATTCCCTCATTGGAAATACCAGCCAGGCCTGCCAATAAAAGGAGTTGGCGGCACACAGGTTCCAAACTGGTAACACGTCCAGTATATTGGAAGGACTTGGATGGGAACCAGGACAAAGTTACCCCCATAGTAGCAGATGTTCCCCATAACTTATGGGGTTGAGACGTCTTAGAGGACATGGGCACGGTCCTTTCCACAGATGACCATGTCTTTTAGGATGATATCATGCTCCACGATAACTTGGGACTATCATGGAAAGGACAACACCTTGCCCAACATGCCCAATCCTAATGGCCACTGCCCACCTGAGATAGACTCCAGTCTTGGCCCCCAAGATGATCCCCATCACCTGGCTCTCTAATGATGCCATTTGGTTGGACCAGTGGCCTATAATAGAACCTAAATTATCTGTCCTCAAAAATTTGGTAGCTGAACAACTGAGGCTTGGCCACGTCGAGCCCTCTCCCAGTAAACATAATACTAACATAATACCCCAATACTTGTTATTAAAAAGAAATCGGGGAAATACAGACTCCTCCAAGATCTTAGTGCAGTCAATGCCCAGATGGAAAAGATGGGCTTGCTACAAGCAGGCTTACCACACCCTACAGCTATCCCCCCATCTCATCATATCATAGTACTTGATAGCCAAGATTGTTTCTTATAAATCCCCCTAGCAGAACAAGATAGACCTCACTTTGCCTTCACAGTATGGGAGCCCAACTTTCAAAGAACAATCAAGAGATACCAATGGAAGGTACTACTACAGGGTATGAAAAATAGCCCCACAATCTGTCAATTATATGTTAATAAGGCCTTAACCAACATCCCCAAGGACCTAATTGTCATTCACTATATGGACGACATACTACTAGCACACAAATCTTACAATACTTTACAGGCTGCAATACCCAGTCTGCTTGCCCATTTAGAATGTCTAGGTCTCCACATTACATGAGACAGGTTACAATACATCTAACCTTTCACATTCCTTGGCTACCATATAGATACTGTAATTAAACCACTTAGCCCTTCCATCTTGCAAAAAACTGTATATACCTTGACAGAGCTCCAAGAACTCTGTGGGACTATAAACTGGCTCAAACAATTTATACCAGTCCCTGACTTGGAATTCCGGGCCTTGTTCTCCCTGCTGGAAGGCCACAATTCACCAAATTCAAGGATCCCTCTCACCCAGTCAGCTAAGGATCTTCTTAATAAGATAGATCATA